TCGTTAGATTACTCTAAAGCAAAATGAGGGAAAATCTGTGTCAATTACAGACATTTTGTTCACGTGAGCACCTGTCAACCTCCAGACGCACGACGGAGCGTGTCTGAACCAATCACTTTTGTTGACATTGATCAGCTGACTGATTTAAATACATCTTAACATTCATGAGGTACTTTGCATTTGACTGTTTATGGTTGAATGTGGGCGTGTAGAGGGTAGAACCTGAGGCGGGACCTCGTGTGTAAACTCTGACGTGAAGCTGTGATTTATAAAGGAAAGTGCACAGAAACATGCGTACGCACGGTTTTATAAATCTGAGTATTTTTGGCGTACGCCATTTCCGCCTTTTGGCCGTACGTTAACTTTTAGTATGGTTTCCACGCAATCCTTTATAAATCTGACCCCAGAGCTGCAGAAGCAGCGGTCAAACACAGCCCCCCCCCCCCTTTTCACACGCAGAACGGAGTATTGCAACACACACACGTGTTTGTTCTTCTATTCTTATAGGGACTTTGCATTGACTTCCGTTCATCAATCCATCCATCCATTTTCTGTACACACGCTTCTTCCTTTCAGTTCATTTACTCGTCATTTACACGGCCTAACCCTGACCCACCAAAAGTATTTTCCCCAGCAGGGACCCGGCTTTTTTCCCCATAAGGAACAGTGGGTCCTCAYCACCAGGCTGTGTTTACAGGGAAAATGGTCCCCACCAAAAACCTGTAGGCACACAGACACAGGCTGTGCACGTTGTTGGGATGCCTTCTGCAGCATAAACGAGTTGAATTGAATCCTGAGTGCAGGCCACAACTGGTGAGAGGTAATGTCCAGCTTGCGTAAATCTGTTTTCTTTACAAAAAACCTAGCCTGGTAAAAACCAGACCCTTGTCCTTCACTTTGCTTCGTACGAGGGTCTGGACTCGCGGTCATAGAGAAGCGATTTCTGCTGGAGGCGTGKCCTCTGCTGAAGTGTGTGTGTGTGTTTCTGTGAAGGAGGCTAAGCTAAGAGGCTAAGCGGAAATCGCGTGCGCTGTAAACAACCCTACTGAGAGGAGAGAAGTACCGAGCCGAACAAGACGACTGTAAATGAGAGCTGCTGCTTTGTCAGACAMATTTATTTTAATTTGGAAGCCTTATCAACACAGACTGGCTTCATTCACTTCCTCCACTGCTGTATGCTAAAATAACTAGCAGACACTGTGCAGAAAATTAACGTCATTCAAAACTCCGCCTTCTGTTTACTGATTGGCCCAGGTAAAATAAACTACAAGCAGACATTGCACAGCAAATCAATGTTCTGTTCTCTAATTGGTCTGGCTAAAAATCTGCCAGCGAAATCCTTGTCTATGAGAGAAATGCCAGACAGAGCAGTGAAGGGCAACTAGAATTGAGCGGAGCTGCATAGGAAGGCAAGGGCCAGGCTACAAAAAACCGGAAAATAAATCAAATTTTTCCCATCAGACAGCTTTTTCCTATAAACTAAGTGCAGTTATCTAGTCCGGGTGATCCAACAACTAGCCTAATGTTAGCTATAATTTAAGTTCAGTGATGACTTTAAACCTATTATTGAGGTGTTTTTAAACAGTTAAACTGTATTTTAATGACWAGAATGAGGAAACTGAAGCTAGTAAATTACAGAATTTTTTTTGTTAAAATTTTAGTATTTTCTGCATAAAATAGTGCTTCATGGGTAGAGAACTAACTTTTAACAACAATAACGCCACTTGAAATTAAATTTAAGAACAATTTCACAATAAACACAAATGAGAAAAAACAAGAACAATTGTTCTTTTTTTAAAGCAGACTGACTTCAGGTGGCAATAAAATAAACCCAATAATTAACTCATCTCCATGTCTGTTGATAGGAGCTGAAAGTCAGAGGTTGTTATTAATATCAGTCTGTTCATTGTATAGTTACTATTTTAAACATGTAGTTGCTTGGAACGGTGACACTTTACAAATAAATCTAAATAAAGAACAAACAATATAAAAAATGTAAAATTCTCCTCTAAAGTCATTATTTGGGATAAATTGTCACATTAATTTCATTTTCATTGCAGTGAGTTTAAAAACAGGATGATTCAACTAGACTCTGTCTCTAATTTAGTTATTTAATCAAGTGCTTGTTTGTTTTTTTATGTAGGTAAAAGTATGTTTACGAACCTGGTAAAATACACTGAAATGCAGGAAACTGCATCTACTAATTTCAAATTTTTCTGGGGGAGGACCTCCAGACCCTCCACTAATGCCCCCCTCACACACATTACAATGCTTCTGATACGCTTGGTTTAATGTTTATGTTAAAATGTTGCACCACAGCAGAAACATTTACTTTAGGGATGCACGATATATCTGTACAGATATCAGTATCGGCCGATATTGATCATTTTTCAGAATATCGGTATCGGTCTGATATGTGAAACTGGGCCGATATTAATGTCCGATATTGATTTCCCACSTTTATCTTTGTGTTTCTGTTTTGGGAGGTGAGACGGTTRGGAGMGCAGCATCTGTTTGATCGTGATAGTGATAGTGRCACTGCGCAGCTAGGAATAACTGAAGTAGGGAGCCATGTCAGAGGTCTGGTTGTTTATTTACAGTATCAAAAAAGACCCAAGTGTGTTTTTGTTTATATGTATAATATAATTTGTATGTTTGTGTAATTTCGGTAAATATCGGCCATAACATCAATAATTATATCAGATATCGATATAGGCTGAAAGTTTCATATCGGTGCATCCCTAATTTGCTTTGTTGTTAATGAAATGTGAAGAGGCAGGTTTTGATTGTGACCAGGATTTCAAACAAATAACAGTTTCAAAATGTATTAATAGTGTTGATTGGAAAGATGTTTGTTTAATAACTTTCATTGTTGTGTATCCTTAATTTCAAATAATTTTACAATTTCATTCTCATTCACCCATAGGCTATTATGAGAGTAACCAATTGAGCTCTATGTATAAACACTTATTACACAAAAGTAACTTAGAGGGAAATCATTTGCTGAATGTTTCGTCGTCGTCGTCTCCCCCCCCCCTTCAATAATCCTATCTGCGCCCCTGACCCAAGAGGAAGCTGACTGAAAGGGATGTTCGGGTGCTAACCTGGATTGTATCCAAAAAACAAACACACAGCTGCCCAATCACAGCAGAATTAAATGTGTACCTCAACTCTCCTGTTTCCACC